TAAACTAAATTAAGACCGACCCTGCACTTTCCCAGAATCTATTCCCAACCTAAGCTAAAAATATCATATTCCAGTAACAAACCAAATGAGAAAGGGCTTGGCCACTACGGCACCAAAAATCCAACCAGTGGGATCCGTATCGGACCATTTTATTGACAGATTCGTTAATGTAGGTGGAAGGAGTAGCGCTTGTGACGTGATATCCTGTTGCAGCAGTGTTTTCTTTCTTTGTTTTTAAGTTTTATGTAGCTTAAATTAAATTATTTATTTGGAGTAAAAATTTAAAATTTATAGTTAATTTGTGTAACATGCTATTTTTGTATACAAAGACTCCAAAAGACATTATTAACCGTGCGTAATAAAAAATTATGATATTGTTTTATTTAACTCTTTTTTTTTATATTAAAATTCCGTGTTTTTGTTTTTTTTTCATTTTTTATTGTTATTTTTTTTTTTTTTTAAATTCGTATTAGAGATATTTTTTTATTTCGTCATTTCTTACTATAATTAAAAAAAAAAGCAAGATAAATAAATAGATAACCTTAGTTTCGTGTACTTATGGAAATTAATGTTAGCTTTTTATTTTATTTCGTCTTATTAAATTTATAATTTATTATGTAATAAGATTTTGCATATTAGATATGTAATACAAATCCATTTTTCGTCATAATAACTCATTATTATTGAAAAAAAAAAGGTATTATTTTCCTAACTTAGGGTAAATTTTACCGTTGTACAGCAGATATCAATTTTATTTACCAAATTGGTGAATACTATTTATAAAATTTCCATTTAAGGTTTTTGACAATTTTTAGCATGTTTAGAGGTTAATGAAACTTATTTTAATATAAATCGTAAATTTAAACCAAACAATAAACCATGAATTTAAAGTTCATATTTTTGAATTTTAAATATGAAATATCTTTTTTTATTGCACGATAATCTTCCACCGAATATTTTTTTTTCATTTATAAAAATAAGCATTTTTCCGGTTGCACTGAATATAATACATATAACAATGTGCCAACTATTTGCCATGTATCACTATAAGAACAAAATAAATAACATGTTTCACATTTTACAAAGTTTCAAGTGTTTTTTTTTTTTTTTTTTTTTTTTTTTTTTTTTTTAGGGTTCAGTTCTTTGTGATCAGTCAGGAACTTGGTTTAAAGTTGTATATTTTATATATGACTTGCCTCATGCACTCAATGCATAATATATGAAATTTATTAAATTTATTTTATTTATTTTATATATTTTGTAAACCAGATTCAATTTTTTTCAATCACTCGTGATTAAAGGTTAAACAATGATGTTCACCTGTTAACTGGGCTGTATAACAAATGATTTGGCTGTGGCTATCATTCTATAATTTTATACGAATATTCGAGAACATAAAGCAACGTGCCATGCCGTGATAACTATCAATAGTAGGAATGATAATGATGATAAAACGCTATATAATTGTTGTATTATTTTTAGAAACTTGCTCAAGATTTTTAAAAGTCATACATCTTACATAATATCATCTTACATTGCGAAAAGAAAAGAGGGTAAGTTTTATATAAAAAAAAAAAAAAGATTTATATAAGGTTAATTGTAAAAAATTTTTTCGCAGTAAATACAATTACAAAGAAAATATTTTAATGATGATACAACAATAACACTGCATTGATCGACATCATAGGTTTTAAACATTAATTTTGTTCCAGGGTCTTGTGTACCATTGCTCTTTTTTTTTTCTATAAATACAATCAGTGTAAATAATTTTCACTTTCATCCTTCAAATTACTGACCTTCAAAGAATAATAAATCTTTAAACATGAACACATAACTTTGATGATAAACCCGTTGTTACCAAATCAAAAAGAGGAAGAAAAGCTCTTGCTGTAAGCGAAGGATATATAGACGACTCATGTCATGACAGTTAGAAGGTCAAATCCTCCGACGCCAAAAAAAAGGCACCAAAGACTCCAAAAGTCATAATACTAAGTAATAATTATTGTATACAATGTGAACAAAAGGATAAATATATTGAAAAGTTAGAAAGCTTGGTAAATAATACGCAAAATTTTGATAAATCATCCAATGTTGGAGCAGCGGATTTAGATTATTCTTCTAATCAAATTAATCATGAGCTATTTGAAGGAGTTGGAATGCAATTACAAAATCAATTTGCAACTCCGACAATCACATTAACAACTATCCAGTGACCTTTATGATCGAGTTGAAAAAATAGAACACCCTCTAAATATATCTAATACAACAATTCCTCAACCGCTATCTTACATTAGGACAGAAATGCCTTTAGAGATGCAAAATCAAATGGGTCCGACAACTATCTTAACGCACACGTATGAACCAGAAGATTTTGCAATAACATTAGATTTGAGTCCTTTCAACGTACCCAAACAATATTAATCGTTATATTGTTTGGATAATATGTTGTGAATTTTACGTTACATGAATTCGGAAATCTTTAGAAATTATTTCTTTTTTTATGCGAATACGATTTCTTTAACCTTTCATTATAGAAATTCCTCTTTATTTTTTAATTCGATTTTCATCGTACAGTTATTTTTTTTTTTTTGATTTCGTCATATCATTCACGGGCAGTAATTCATTTTATGCAACCTATAAATATGATTTCACATAAGTAATACAAATTCTAAGATATTCATAATCAATATATATGCTAAAAATATGAAAAATAATATGGGAATGTTGCCAATAACATTAAGTTATTAGATATAGAAAATCATATGAACGCTCCCATATGTTAATAATGATAATGTTATCACGGCTTGAATGATTATAATTAAACTTTCTCATTCTTTTTTAATAACCTTTTAACCCTATTTATTATTGTTTTTTTTTATTCTTTTACTTTAACTTAGCGTAAAATAGAAAACTTCTTTCTCTGGTTTTAAAGCAGTAATTTTATTTAAAGTAATGTCGAAAAAAAGTTCTGATTCTATGAATCTTTAAGTCGCGGACAATAATCCTAAATTCTTTCACAATGTTTTTTTTCGATTATATTTAGATGGACATGGTCAATAAACTATTATGGAACTTACTTATTAAACAATTAATAAAAAATCCACAATTTATTAATCAAGCAATTCAAAATCTTCCTTTTCACAATTGTACTTTTTCAAATGTTTTAAATTTTATAAATTAATTTGATCTAATCATTTCCCCAGCGTAACCGGGAAAAAAATCTAGGACACGTATTTTTAGGTTGTGAAATCCAACCAACATTGCCTTAAGCTATGCATAATAATACATGACCTTAATAAATTTATTAAAATTTACAAACCATTTATCATTTGCAGGATGATCCTCTTGATCATGAAAAATAATATATATTCCATAAAATATCGGTTGGCATGTAATTTTCATGAAATTTGGATTGTTAGAGGTAAAATTTTTTCTTCTTCCAAGGTTGTTTTTATCATTTCCTTTTGATTTTTTTTTAAAAAATGTTGCATTACGCAACTCTTTGCTAGAAAATTTTAACCGGCTATCAGGATTAACTATCGCCAATAAAATTCCATCTCAAACCATTATATTTGGTTAATAAATGTTTCATTTAATTTACTTTTGGGGCATATAAAGAGTAATTCTCCAAATCTTTGAAATCAATAAAAAATTTAATGATTGTCTACCGCTTTTTTATTTACCAATTTAGGAAATATTTTTAAGATTAATAAAAAAATAAACTGATTTGTAATTTAATAAAATTTAATCTATCTACACATACTTCATAAAAGTTAGATTTGCAGTATGCACATTATTATTCTATTGATGTCATATATTTCAGATTTAATTATTTAAAAAAAAATATATATATCTGAACTTAATCTTTTTCAAATATCAGTATCGTTCATTTTTTTTTTCCACGTTGTGTCACGCATCAAACGATCATCATTTCTAAATTCAATTGCAAGCTTTCTCAATAGAAAATTTTTAAGTGAACCATATGGCTTCTTCTGTCTATTACGATTTAATAATAAATAAGTTGAATTTTATTTAAAATCGCTTAGGCGTTATATAAATTAGCTTTGGTGAAATTATAATAAATTTTATTTAGATTTCAAAGATTTTGGCAAATCCACAAATGCTTGGCCGACCATTATATTAAATTTTAGGTTATGTAGAAATAATATAAAAATTATCACAATAAAATTTTAAATTAGCTTTGCGTCAACATTTTGAATCCTATTAGTTAATGGCAGCGATGCGTATCAATTTCATACCAGTGATTACTTTACTTATAATGTCAAGATCATTATCAATATAAAATACTTAGAATCAATTCACCAGAATATGATTATAAATTTACAAGTAAATTTCTATAAAGCAATTAGATTATTAAATTGTTTCTACATTGCAAATTTTCCTTGGATTACATTTAGTAGAATCGTTGTTAAAATCCTTATTTTTTATGTAGCTTAAATTAAATTATTTATTTGGTGTAAAAATTTAAAAATTATAGTTAGTGTAACATGCTATTTTTCGTAGATTACGCCAAACAAAGATTACAAAGATATCAATCAATATTTATTACCATTTAATGTGTAATTTAAGCTTAATGATCAAATTAGAAAATTAGAAAATTATATTGAAGATGAAATATTTTGATCTTCTCTAACTATAGTAAAATGAATTCTTCCAGTTTTCTTCGCTAGTAGCAACGGGTTTATCATCAGAATTTTGTGGGTTCATTTATTTCTTCTTTTGAGGTCAGAAATTTGTTGGAAGCGAAAAATTATTATGCCAAAGAAAACTCAAACAACTACGTTAAATTCTCCTGCGAATCTTTTTTTATCTTCTTTCAAAGTAGACCAGAACATTGGAGTGCATTTCTCACGATATTAACAATGCGTAATTAACAATTATGATATTAATTTATTTAGCACTTTATTTATTGAAATTCCGTGTTTTTGTTTTTTTTTCCATTTATTATTATGTTTATTTTTTTTTTTGGTAAATTCGTATGAAAGATTTTTTTTTTATTTCGTCATTTCATATTATAATTAAAAGAAAAAAAGCAAGATAAATAAATAGATAAACTTAGTTTTGTCCACACTCATGGAAATCACATGTTAGCTTTTTATTTTATTATAATTTATTATGTAATAAGATTTTACATATTAGATATGTAATACAAATCCATTTTTCATTATTGAAAAAAAAAAGTATTATTTTCCTAACCTAGAGTAAATTTTACCGTTGTACAGCAGATATTCAATTTTTATTTGCCAATTTAGGAATATTTGTGATACTATTTATAAACGTTCCATTTAGGTTTTTGACAATTTTTGTCTCGTGGCAATATAAGAGAACAAATCAAATGCATGAATGTTTAGAGGTTAATGGTATAGTTTAATATAAATCGTAACTTTGAACCAAACAATAAGCCATGAATCATATTTTTTGAATTTTTAGAACTGAAATATATTTTAATTGCACGATAATCTTCCACCGAATATTATTTACACAAAATAAATGCTTATACCTGATAACGACCTGAATAATTTATGAATAAGCTGTTTTGAGCGGTTATTTACTATTTCAATATTGGTGCACTATTATTAATCAATTATTTGCCATAAAAACAAACAAAAATTTCATGTTACACCACGATTTTTTTTTAGATTTCTTCAGTTCACTACAAATTTAATTTTCTTTTTTTAGTTTCTTAATATTTAATTACGAATATTTTTTTTCTTTTTTAGTTTCTTCGAATTTTTTTTGGTTCTTTGTGTAATCAACGAATAGCTCATTGACTTAAACATCGGACGTTTTGTGTCATCAAATTATATTTGACGTCTTTGTCTAACCCTTTAGGACCAAATTGGAAATTTTCGCTGTAATGCGATTAATTTATCAACTGTAACTTTCCCATCTCTCTCCTTATTAATATTAACCTGTTTGCCTTGTGTAACAGGCAATTTACCGACATATTTTTCCTATAAATACATAGTTATTTCCTTTCACCTTCAAATTACTTGACCTTCAAAGAAAAATAATCAAAAAAATGAACCCACAAAACTTTGATGATAAACCCGTTATTACGAAATCAAAAAGAGGAAGAAAAGCTCTTTCTGTAAGCGAAGGGCATATAGACACAACTGGAAGAACTCATATCATGACAGTTAGAAGGTCCAATCACCCGACACCGAAAAAGAAGGCTCCTAAGGCTCCAAAATCTATAAATCAAAACAATAATTATTGCAGACGATGCGAGCAAAATGATGAATATATCGACGCACTAAATGATCGAATTGGCAAGTTAGAAACTTTGGTAAATAAATCGCAAAAAATTGATAAACCTTTATCCAATATTGGAGCAGAGAATTTAGATAATTCATTTAATCCAATTAATAACGAGCTATTTGAAAGATTACAAACTCAATTGGAAACCACGTTAACTCCGAATATCGACAATTTTAATGATCGAATTGGAAAATTAGAAAGTTTCCGAAATACAACAATTCCTTACATTGGAACGGAAGATCCTTTCAAGATGCAAAGTCAAATACAACAAACTATATTCGTGCCAGTTTTCGAGACTCCTCGATCGTTATTTTATACTGGGACGGAAGATCGTTTTAAGTTGCAAAGTCCAATACAATTGCAGAATATTTTATCACCACCTATCGGCGTTATTAATGATCAGATTGGAAATTTAGAAAATTCATTAAATTATATTAGAACAGAAAACCCTTTTGAGATGCAAAGTCAAATACAAAATCTGATGGAACCTCCGGCAACAATATCAACGCCATATTTCGGTATAACTAATGAACCAATCGGACATTTAGAAAGTTTACTTAATAAACCGAAACTTCCTCAACCCCATATTGGAACAGAAAAACCTTTTGAGATGCAGAATCAATTACATTCCCAAATGGCATCTCCGTCAACTACATTAACTCCCTCGTATGAACCAGTAGATTTTGCAAATTGGAATCCATTTTACCAATAATTATGACAATAACAACGTTTTTATACTTATGATATATTATGTATTCTTCGTTTCGTTAATTCGGAACTTTTAACAGAATCGATTCAATGTTCGATAAACCTTAGACATGATAGACGATTTTTTTATATGAGGTTTCGTTATTAAATCATGTTCGGATCATGATTTATTATATCTCGTTACTACGACCCATCTTATTATTTTCTTCATGCATTTTCATTACTAATTCCGTTTTTTTTCGATATTTTTTTTTTTGTAATTCTATTTCATTGCGCATGTTATTGTTTTTTTTATGATTTATTCTTATTGGCGGATTGTTACGTTACGGATCATATACGTTCGAAACTCGATGTTAGTCCATATTGTTCGTGTACTATAAGTAATTTATTCATTCTAACTTATAAATATGACTCTACATATGTAAAAATTCTAAGATTATGCTAAAATATAAAATAATAAAGTGTGGCAAATATATATATAATAAAATGAAAATGAAAATTGTTATTATACTTAATTTATTCAGAGCGAAGCTCAAAAATATTTTGCCAATCACATTGCTTTTGAGAATATCAACGTTACCGGCACTTCGAGCCTGTAATATTAATATTAGATATAATGAAAATTACATGAATAATTTGATAACCAGCATAGTATAAATAATCCTGCAATAAAACAAATTGATATGAAAGATATAAATTCGATTGTCGTGCATCCATCACATTGTTAATGGTAGGACAATGAAAGCTCACGTGTAATAGTTATCAACTGATCAATGCGACTACCTAAAAAGTTGTGTCAACGAAAGAAAGTCATTCCTTCAATTAACGTTAGATCTTCCTGAAAAACGTATACCTTACAGCACCTTAAGTTTTATGTTGTAAAATTTTTTTAAAGTTTCTGTAAAGCAATTTTGCTTTACGAATAAAACCAAAAATTACTATATTATTACATAATTGAAAGCAATTATGTCATTATAAAAATATTTAAAAGATTAATAATTGTTTCTACAAAGCATATTTCCTTGGAATTAAATTTAATAGGAATAAATTTTCGCAAAAACAATGTTGAAAATTTATTTATTTTTAGTTAATTTTGTGCAAATCAAATACTGAAAAACTACATAAAATACCTTACGAAATAGATGTCATAGCACGAGTGCTCCCATTAACTATTTATATTGAAATGTCGTTTTCTCATCTTTTTTTTTTTAATATATAACTGATAATGTATATATAATATATGGGCGCTTTGCGAGGAAACTACAAAAAAAAATTTTTTACTTTACACTATAAGCCAATAAGATTTTTTTTTTTTATTAATATGATTCAAAAAAAAAAATTTTTTTTACTTCATCTACACATTATTTCTTAAGAATTTCAAATTCTTATAAAACATGGAAATTGTTTTTTATTATTTCGTTATATTATACTTTATAAATTATTAGATACTGTATAATTTAACATATGCAGTAATAAAAAAAAAAATTTCTGTTCATGTATTTTTTTTTGACCACAACACTAATTTGTAAAATAAATGACAACTTTGGACATTTAATTTATATTTCTCTGTATGGTAATAACTGTATTTTATTTTACCTTTTCCGGTAAATTTTTAAATTGTGTAACATCTATTCAATTTTTTTATTTTCCAATTTAGGAATATTTCCTATAAAAAGTTTTTTTACTTACGCTCTGGTGGAAATGAGTCCATTTTATTTTTCAAGTTACAACCTATCAGAAATTTCAATTCATTTATATTTTTCGAAAAACTAATGTAATTAATGTATAAAAGTGTAGATTATTTTTTGAAGCAGATAATAATATATTCCATTTTTTCGCAATAAAAAAAAAAACATTTCTTGCTTATTATCTCAACTTTATGTGCTCTATATAATACAAAAATAATACAAAAAATTTGAATTTATAAAGAAAAAGGACATCTGAAAGTCTATTAAAAAATTGTAACGTAGTAGATAGTAAACAGCTAATAATGTCTATTTCATATAATACTCCTGATGATAACGGTTCGTCAAATGTTGACGCCATACAAGACACATCAGCTTTTAATGAGCGTGCCTTCGTACCTCATGAAGCTGTATTCTTTTACAGGCCAAACAACGATTTTCAAATTTACCTCGTCTATTGTAAGGAAATAACTTTGAATGAACTTATATCTCAACTATTAAATAATTATCTCTACTTAAACTATAATTATCTTTATTCGAATAATCTTTTCGTATTTTATTTTCAACATCCTAATGATCAAAGAATTTATCATGTGGCTTGTGAAATGATATCACATTCGAAAATAGTTCAGCATTTAAACTCACACATCTTTGGCATCGAGTTGTTGCAAAATGAACAACAACCACCTTTGGAATTTTCTAACAACCATAAACAAAACCTTGAGTTTCACTTAAGGCAATTCCTTATTGATTATTTAATACCCATGAAAATTTAAATGATAATTCTATTGTTGATGATACATACACTACACAATAATCACATCTTCTTCTATCAATTTAATGGTTGCTTTTTATTTAGGAGTTTGAATTTTTTTTTTTTTAGTCTATTTGTGTATTTCAATTAGGTTTAAACGTTAAACATAAATATATTGTAATTTAGAAAAATATTATTGTAAATTGGGAAAATTTATAAATCACTTGAAATCCCGTTATGAAAACTGAATCTCGAATAATTTTGACAAAACGTTCAATTACAGGGCTCAAGTTTGAAATACTACAGTTTAATATCAATTTGATTAAAATTTAAAATCTTAAAATTTATTTTTTATAATTGTATTCTTTAATTTTTAATACTCGATGAAATTTGTATAAAAACTCTTCGAACATTATCTAGAATTAAAAGGTCCTCCGAGCATAAATAATTGTCAACATATGCCGTCTCCAAAATATTTAGCCGACATAGGCCCATTAAAGGAGATATTTTAATAAACTTTTATTTAATGTATACTTTAAAGTAATAACTATATAAGGTCATGCAACTTCGATTTTTCGGTTCACGTAACATTGAAATTTTAAAATCGACCTAGAGACCCGGAGTTTTTTTTATTAATATAAAAAAGTTTATATATAAATATTATGCTATCTTATTGGTCAATCTTTAAGAGGAACAAGTGAAATTTTTATCATGACCTTACATAATAAAATCGGCATATTAGATTTTGTGCGGCGAAAGAAAGATTATTTGTGTGATATAGAATATAACAATACATATAACAATACATATAAAAAAACTTACATATGAAAAAGAAAAAAAAAATAACCGGGTGACCGTATCAATTTTAAAATTTTATCAAATTTAAAAATTTTCTTTGTCCGGCCTAATCATACGGCAATCACATTTCATTTCAAAACATCTTAAATCCGTCAAAATGCCTATGATACATATAAAATAAGTTATAATTCTAAAGTTTTGAAGGATTGGGAAGGTCTACCTGTTGAGAAAGAAACAAAATAAAAGATTTTTTTGGAATCTATATTTATCAACTGACTGATGGGAAGCAGATTTTGAAGTGAAGTTTAGCCCATCAAATACATTAGTTGAAGAAAAAAATTTCAGCACAATGTGAGAAGCTGCATGAAACTAATGAGTTGTTAAAAGGAATTATAAATAAAATTACACTTTATAGTCACATGATAAACTTTTTATATATAAACTTTTTTTTGTTAAAATTTGAAAAAGTGACACGGCCGGGTGACATGAACCGAAAAATCGTAGTTGCATAGCCTAAGGTATTTCAGTAATATGGTCAAATTTAAACAAAAATTCCTAAGAAATTTGTTCATAGATAAAGAATACTTGTAAATTAATTTTTCTTGAATGGTGAAAAAGTTATGATGCTTTTAATGTTATCAACGAGCTTGAAAACTTTCAAGGTGTAATTTCAACATTTTGGTCAGAGAAGAAAAATTTTCCATGGACTAAATTAAGTAGTTGCGAGTTATAAATTTTTTTTTTATGTAATGACATTAACCTGTTTTTTTTTTGTGATAACTAACCCTAGTAAACATAAAATTGGGCCAAAATTGCAAATCACGTGGTGAATTCGATTATCACGTGATGCGAAACCAATGGATTGTCTTATTGAAAAAAAAACCTTCAATCCTGAACTATATAAGTTATAAGTCGAAAATTATGATTTCAAAAATAGCTTTGCCGTATATGTAATATAATAGGAAAATTAATAAGAACGATTTAACAAATTGGTTATCAATTTTTTATTGTTGTATGTTATGCATGTGTACTTTTATGAGTAAACAAATATTAGATAATTTAAATTTATATTAGGAACTGAATTCGAATGTAATTGATATATGACTTATAATTGTTTACGTAATAATGCAAATAAATTTTTTCTTTATTTCAATGTATAAACCATAGATAGAAAACAACATACGTCACTTTATGCGATTACGCCAATCTGAAATGGTTTCCGGAGTGGTTATGACGCAGCGAGATCGTCCAAATAAAAAAGATCACATTTTTATGCAGTAATTCACAATGCGTGTAACAATTTTTTACTTTATCATTAAGTACATTCAGGAAATATGGAATTCATTTATCTTAAAACGTAATTAATTACAATTAAATTTAGTTTTGATTCTTTTTATTTGAAAGATAATGATATTTTTGCGTGATACAGGTCTAAATGCGATTATCGATAGAAGTTTGTCAGAAATGAATAATCCTGACAGTGAAATCATTTATTTCGAATAATCTTTCTTTAACAATTTTTTTTTTGCAAATAAAATTATACTATACTCAATATAAAATAAAGTTTTAATCTATTTTCTTTTTTCATTCAAATTATTGAGCGGAACCAGACAAAGCCTGATATTTAAAATGTTCTTCAGCTTTTATTTACGAAAAAGGGCTTTTTCTACAATAATTGTCTGATACCTGATTGTGTTTTATTCATAAACTTTCCAATTTTGTCGATCAATTTCTTGGAGTGTAAACATACATATTTATTGCTTTTTTTTATACTTGAAAAATCCTGATTGTATAAAGTTTCATTCAGCCTTCAACCCCATATTTAATATAAGATTCATTCAATGATCGACCCATTAAAAGCAATAATTACACTTCAAAATTTGAAACACTCCCTGCAGCGTAAGCTACATTTAAAGTTGAAAATGGTTTAATAGATGACTAATATTCAATGATCGACTCATTAAAAGCAATAATTACACTTCAAAATTTGAAACACACCCTGCAGTGTGTAAGCTACATTTAAAGTTTGAAAATGGTTTGAATATATGATTTTTTGATTAATAGATGACTAATATGGTTAGAACACTTGTAACACAGACTTGTTCAAAATCTAGTATGTCTTATGTCAAAAACTATCGGATGATTTCTGCATCTTAATTGAAATGTATGCAACAAGTATGTCATTGTTAAATTTTATTCTCTTTCAATTTTCAATTAAAATTTCCATTATATTAAAAAGAAAACTTTATTTATTATTTACCGCATCGGGTAAAATCTTAGGTTTTGATTTTGCGCGATTGTTTGTAACATACCCGAGAATGCTCCGAGTCATCTATTAATAATTAAATGTAAAAAATTTTTTATTTATATTTCATACATAATAAATGTAAATAAGCTAAATTTTGAATTGCGCGAAATAGTTTAAATTCCTAACCTTAACATCTGAACGTTTGCAACTTCCAGTGCTCTTTCTTATAAAGAACTCAAAACAAGAGAATTTGATGTTGTCTTCAACAAGATGGCAACGGCTTGTCAAATCTTAATACTATACAAAACACCTTCATCTTCTAATGGAAGTTTTTTCGTACCTCAAGAAATTGTATTCTAGAAACGTTTTTCAAATGAATTTTATCAATTGTAAAGAAATTACCTTCAATCTCAATTCTTAAATAATTTTTGACTCGACTTATAATTAGTATAATTATCAAAATAATCTTTTCGTATTTTATTTTCAACATCCTGCCGATCAAAAGATTTATCGGAAATGACTCTACATTCAGACATAGTTCAAGATTTGAATAAAATCAATATCTATGGCATTGAAATAAAGCAAAACGAATAGTAACAGCACAGGGACGATGATTTTTTGTGGTGATAAAAAGTAAATTTTATAAAGTAAATTCTGTGAAATTTGTTATTTGACCGGAATCAAGCAAGGTTGACCAACATTACGATTCGTAAATTCTGGCCAAAATTTAGTGTCCGCCGGAATTACAATGATTGCAAATCCTAAATTAGGAAAATTATGAAATTTTGTGATCACAAAAAATCATCGTCCCTGCTAACAAACATAAGCAAATCCTTGAGTTTCACTTGAATTTGAAAATCGGTATTAATATTGTAAATTTTAATGTAATACGATTCGGCGGATAATAACAATCATCTGGTTTGCCTCAAAATATTAATTTAATTTAAATTATTGTTTAATAATTGGTGGCAGATAATTTATTTATTTTCTTTCTTTCGATAAAGAAAATTTTTTTTTATTAATAAAAATTTTGGTTTGCCACATGTTTGCCTGAAAATATAAAGTCTTAGCCAATTGATAATAGTATACATTTTTTTTTGATTTACTGCGCACCCTTCAACTTTTTAGAAATCGAAAGTTGTGAATAACGTGAAAACGATTAACGACGACGAGGAGTTTAACAAAAATAAAAACGAAATAAAAAAAAAAACCCCGAAAAATAAAAGAAAAAAAAGAAAAGAAACTAACGAAACGAAAAAAAACGAAAAATAAAAAAAAAACGAAATAATTTTATCCAATATTATCAAAGACTAAGACTCGATATAAAAAAATCTCGATATTTTAAACGTTCCCAAAACCCGATATTCCTAACAATCTTCCCTTATAATAAATAGAAACTTGTAAAAAGCTGACCGACCATGATCCGACCCTAATAAAAATATCCCTAAACTCATCCCTAAACTGTCCTGTCCCTAACCCAACTCGATATATATATAGATTACTTAATAAAAGGATGATCCATTAAGAATTTGGTTGGAAAACTCGGCAAATGGATTATCATCATCAATAATTTGCGGAGGAAGGTTTACAAGGTTTACAACCATGTTGTTCCATGTGGCTCTACCGCGTCTTTGGCGATTTCCTCGGCGAATTACTCTATTTATTCCATTTACGTGTCGTTGTCTACGTTGAGCTCGACGCCTTTGATACATTTTAGTGTATTTTTTCCTAATTTAGATTTTTTTTATAACTATGTTTGAAATTAAGAATATAGTGGGAATGACTTAATTTTCTAATTTTAATTGATATCATATACGTTTTCAGAAATTTAATTTAAATTAATTAATTTTATTTAAATTAAATTTTATTTTTTTATTTTTTAATTTTTAATTTTTTATTTTATTGGAATAATGTCCAGAAAGTAAAATTTTCAATCATATTTATAAATATTTTTTTTTGAGTAATAATATAAAAAAAAATTTTTTTTTTTATTTATATTCATCTTTTTATTTCTTGTAATAATGTTCTTAGTATTTTCATTTAATTGAACTATATATATGCCGCTCATAACCGAAGATAAACTTTAAAATACGAAAAAAAATTTATTATATGACGAGTAAAAATTAATTAACCTTAAAACGTCCCTTTCTCTCTGTATGCCGCGTCAGTTTGCATAGGTGATAAGATTCCGTTTTTGAAAAGTCCAATTCGTGCACCGAACTTACCAATTGAGCGAAAAAGTAAATTAAAAAAAGAATCGGCGAACTTCGTCGTCTTTTCGCTTTTTTTTTTTTTTTTTTTTTTTTTTTTTTTAACGATAATCAAATCGGAAGAACCATTTATCCCAAGAACAATTTTTCAGCGTTTACAAAGATACTTTAGATCCAAATATTGTTATACGAGCAATCGTTTCGCGAAAAAAAAAAAAAATTTAATTTTATTCTTTAACGTTAAACAATTAAATTTTTGAAAAAATGGTTATAATCAAAATGCAGCATATTATTACAAAGGTGATTTTTTAAATAAACCAGGAACGAGCATCATTTATTATATATACATATATATAAAAACCTTCGTTAGAAATGAAATCATCGCAGTTACGATTTTGCACATCAATGCTATAACGGTAACAAATTTTGGCAAATCGAATTTTCTGCACGATTCAATTTTTTTTTTTTTTTGGAAATTACATTTCATTTATTTGAGAATGATATCATTTAAATTCTTTCTTTTTTGTCTAATTAGCAAAGGAACGTACTTAATTTGAATTATAAAAAAAAAAAAAAATCTAGAAACCAATTTTTCCGCTTTTATATAGCGAGAACTTTAGCCAAAATAGTATTTCCAATTTTGTAACTCATTTTTTGTCGTAATTGATTCTCTTCAGTGAGCAAAGTCGAACGGTGGGGTGAAACCAAAATAGTTGCATTCTAAAAATTTGAACGAAACGATAGGACAGGGTGCATTTCTACCTAATGCAAAAATATAGAGATTTAGTAATATATGGTATAGGATCATTATGTAGGAACTGCCCTCATTATCTTTAAATCTTGTAACTCATGAAAATCATTGCATTTTCCATAAGTTGACCAAAATCAGGGCGAATAAAAAATTGCTATTGATATGCATATTTCCATAAATTGACTAAAATGAGGTGAAAAAGAAATGCCCTCGCTATAAAATAAGTTTTCTATTATTTTTGAAACCATCCTTTGGGGACATTCTTTCGGATTTTGTTGTTGGTATTTGGGTGGAAATGCGATGTAAGTAAAACATTTTGACAGGAAAGAACTTTTAAAATGAACAAATAACCCTCTATAATGTTGAGAATTAATGGATTGAAGTTTTCGCCCAAGTCCAAAGATGGCAGGAAGTTTACCAAATGTGCTACCTTTTTTTTTTATTTATATTTTTTATCATTTTTATTTTTATTTTTTAATAACCTTGTATATCCTTCTATTTCGAGTAAATATTCATGTAAACAAACCAATATTGTTCAACAGAATGTTTCCAAGGAATATCCAAGCATGGGAGGTGCGTCAATAATATTTGAAATGTCCAACTTTTAATAAAGCGAATTTATGCAGAGGCTGTGGGACGAGCCCTTTTATCACTATATCTTTGACTATAAGGTCGATTGTCGATAATCTTTCCAAAAATTGACTAAAATAAGAATATACATTGCGGGAATGAAATTTTCAAACATCCCCAAGAAAATGATATATCACTTGAGGTTCGGCGTAAAAGTATTTAAACTGTTCTTGATCTTTCTACAACATTGCCTTTCCATCGTATCCTCGATACATCGATGTCATTATCGATATGTGACATGAACTTTAAAAGTGTGCTGGGCTGGTAAAAACTTGAATTCTGGCTAAAGCACCGAAAATTCAGTCATTTTATATAAAAATAAATTTTTTTAATTTTTAAATAAAAAAAAAAATAATTTTTATTGGGGACTCCCCTTTTATGTTTGATCATCTTTCATGCCTTACTCAATTTGTTTGGTTTATCATTGTGTATGATCAATTGGAATGAATGACGAACTATATGACGATCAAGTATATTGTACCGGAGTTAAAAAATTTTTTTTTTATTTTAACTAAAGAAATTTTTAATTTATACCATATCATTCACTTGAAAGAAATTATATAAAAATTTTTTATTTATGTATCGGAAGAATCGGAAGAAATTCCGTAAATTGTCATAAGAAGATTGGTCACACGTCATATGAATAAAGATATTTGACAATCAATAAAATCCCATGACATAGAAAAGTATTGCATAATTACAAAATCTAAAAATAAATGGTCATGTATTTGCTTTATCATCACAAAAGATACACAAACCCGATGGCGGCTACGGCCGAACCTTTCAAAATTTGATATATTTGAGATAGACCAAAATGATTTTCACAACAATTTTTTTTTTTTTTTTTTTTTTTTTTGTGCTCATAGTTAATAATAAGCTTATCTATTTGAAACATCTCCGAAATTGTAAAGTTTAATCCTTGGTATGGTTGTTCACTGAACGGCTCATCTTTTTTATTTGTATCACCAAAATGAAGCAATAATATAAAAATAAAAAAAAAAATTATTTTGTTCCTTTGTTTTCCATTTATCGACATACATTTTTGCCCCGATTTTTTTTGTCACAATAAGACCTGACCAATCAAATCATTTCACAGGCCTCTGAAATTTTGTCCACAATAACACGTGACATTACAATCGATACGTTAATGCCATCAATATACGCATTTTATACTTTTTCATTTATATTTATCGTGACTAATTTTAACTTTTAATTTTTTCTTTGTATATTTGAGTGATGAATATTATAAATTAATTACAATAAATTTTATAATTAACGTTATGATTCTTTGTAATTCTGAATTAGTTTAGATAAGTTAATCATCAATTTCGTTATTTTTAGAAGCTGGTTTCACTTCAAAGGTGGAAGAATTTCCAAAGATTGTCGTGCACTTTGAACTTAAAATCCAGATAACTTAATTTCATAAAAAAAAAATAATCGAATCGTCTTCGTGTGATATCTTTACTTTCCCATTAAAATATTATTAAACATGAAGTTATTATGGTAATGTACAAATATAAGGATTGATGAATAAAATTTCTGGAAGGAATACAAAAATAACTATTCCTTAACACTCCGGGAATATGGCGCCCAATCGATAAAATAGGTTGATTTTATTATAACTTGCGAATACACACAGTTATATTGACGTTCAATTTTGCTTTACATGATTTTTGTTAATTTATAAATATTTGTCTTCCGATAAAAGACCCAAATTATGATACATTTTCTAAAAAAAAAAAAAAAAAAAGAAGTGAGAAAAAGTCATTAACAAAAGCTGTATAATAGAAATAACTGATACATAACAAAATAATAAATAGAAATTATAAACTTTTTAGCAATTTTCTCTATAACTTAGCAAACAGGATAATTACCTTTTTTAGAGGTAAAAGAACTTCAATTGTGACTAATTTAAGAACAATGGTTTGATGAGATGATATTCGACGAACAAACAAATCAACGCCACACGTTGTTGTTCAATCAACCTTAACTTTTGTTTTTCATGCACTGCCAAATTACATTGATTTTTCCGTAATCATACATGTATGAGTACTAGTTATTTTGAGGGGTAAAGGAAAAGAAAATCTTGTAAATATAAATAAATGAATAAATGCATTTGGAACAATAAAAAATTGTTTGCATGATCGAATGTAGAAATGATTGTACTAGTAACATAAAAAAAAATGGTTTTTAAAATGGTTTAATATAATATTTCCCGTTGTTTACATTCCAAGTTTCTTCCGATAAAAACCTTGAATTATACTGCAACAAGCTTTTGTTTTTTCTTCTTATAACAAATTCTCAACACTAATCTTTTAAGTTATGTTTCTGAAAGTTCAATTCTCGTTGAATATAAAAAAAATCTTTGCGATAGACCATATGATAAGGCTGTAATGCTAATGATAATGTAACGAAAAAAAAAAAAAGATAAGGATCATTTGATTTGATGCAAACCTGGGATGATCTATCTTTTTTTGGACCAAGTCGTGTGACATAATATTTATTCCAATAAAAAACGCTTATATATAGTGTTATTGAAGGGGCTGAAGCGATGCTAACATGTGACATTGTGACATTGATAAGCGTTTACCAAAAATAAACGTTCCACTGCATGTATGGAAGATATTTACATAAACATTCAGATACTATTTCATTCTTCAAATGATTATGTCAAATGATTTTTTTTTTTTTTTCAAAAAAATAGTCCCCGTTAACCAACCAAATTTTAATCACAATTCACAAAAGTCAAATAATTTCGGATTCTTTATAGTAACACAAATGTGTGAATATGGTAAAATCATATTAATAGTAGTGGTCTCGATTTCATATGCCTGAAATTTGGATATTAATATTTTTAATACCGAGTCATATGATTGATATTTTAAGAAGTTTCCTTTTATATTTTTATACTTTCCGAAAAAAATCTAACGGCATTTACTAAAAACCGGTTCTTTATGGTCTTTTGTGAAAAATCAGCTGGCTTCTGGTGACCCATTCTATAAATATATCTTTTATGATGATATCGTGAAGTTGCGTAGCTTATTATTGTGTTACAAATGTGATTGGATTTTTAAAATATAAATACGAGTTGAGAAATTCAAAAATTCCTTGATAATTAATTATAACAAAAAATGAATTCAAACGGACCCTTACACAATTATTCTCTCATAATTGATGACGGTGTGATAAATAGGACTCTAGCTACGAGTGATATTAATCAAAGAAGAAGACTAAATCGAGATAGAGGACGACGAAATGAAAATAGAATATTTCAAAGACGCGTTCAGGTCATCAATAATAAAGACACTTTAAATCGAATCACAAACCTACCTACTCAAACTGCAAATGATTTATTGATAACCGAATTTTTCAATGGATCTTCGTTCATTTAAAGTAGATCTTTAGACAGGTAAGAATCATTTTTTCTTTATATGCGTTTTATTTATTATTTCAGGTATCTATGCGAAATTAATTCATGAACTTTATTTTCGATTAGTGTCATTTATTGATTATTATCCCATATTACGTAAATTTATTGTTTTGATTTATATTTCAATTATGGTATTAATAACAATGTAGATTATCTTGAACGTGATAATTAACGGAGATTAAAATTCACCGTTTAAAACCGTTTAAAAAAATTACATGTAAATATAATACTAAATAAACTCCTTCATTTATTTTTTTTTAATAATGAAAAACAAATTTTCAAATAACGAATTTGATAATAAATTATAATTTTTTCTCTTATTGGATAAGTCACGTAAATTTATTTTGACGAATTCGAATTTATTAAAATCTCAAATAATTCACCTCTGTTAAACAAGTATGTGTCGCTGATATTCTAAACCGGGATCAATTTCCTTTCAGATAACAAGCTTGACTTCATGAAGAGCACAATAAATAAAGTAAATGACGCGTAATACGATAAATCACGTGATAATTTTATTGTATAATAACCTCGTGATTTATAGTAATATTTATATCTTTCACGAATAATTTAAGATTACTTGAAACAAATTTTTGCTTGTTCGATATGAAATCAATTGAATAATGAAATTTTACCCTAGAACAAGTTAGCTATCATGTGGAAAATCTGCAGCGATTAATAAAAATATTTTAATTCTATCAAATCATTCTATTCTAAGATTATGTGAATAAACATAGAATTTAATTTTTAATATCTACTTTAGATTAATTACAGTTATTCAATTTATTAGGAGAGTGAAGATAAAAAAAATCATGGGTTCGGCAAAATGTGTAGATCATGCCTATTTTATAAAATGATTTCTTAATTCAACAAACGACTTCTAATTTTGACAATTCATTTGAGACCAGAAAACGTTACATTAGGTACTCATTCATCACATAATTAATAATTTGCAAATGAAAATCTAAAAATTAATGCATTGCTCACCGCAGTGTTGGCAGTCGGCCACGGTCAAGAGATTTTTGGTCATTTTGCTGTAGCCAATGGCCAAAATGGCTAAACAGCCAAATTTTGGCCAAATAACGAGGTACTAATAAATGTATTAATATTTATTAGGATTTTATTGGCATGGCCAAAAATTTTTTTGATCAATTAGCCGGCCAAATTGGCCAAACGTCCAATGGCCAAAGACCAACGCTGGCTTACCGTGAATTGTGAAACAATCTCTGATACCGTGAAATTCCTATCAATAATATACATCACTGGCTTTGTTAACGAAACAGTATATGAGAATAAATGTTTTCCAAGTTTTCTATTCATTGAAACCTTCAAAATAAATGTACACGATTACATCACTCGTGATTTGACGCTTTCATCTTCACGTGACTTATTGGCCGGCATTACGGCATTAAGAATTAACCCGTGACATAATGGGAGGTAAGCTATTAAAATCACGTTACGGATTATATGATGTACTATGTTCGTAACTCGATTTTATCACAAATTTGTGTCATGTAATATAGAGAGACCTGAAGAGTAATTCAATGAACACCATTTTGGAGGGTAATTTATATTGAATGTGTAAGTTCTGGTAAAAGTTGGCGCATTTCATGACGAGTACTGAACTTGAATTGGATATAATAATAAATATCCTCGTTGATAACATACAAAGATAATAAATAAAACACGGAGACATAAACCTTCAGTGTTTGTTTTCCTTTAAAAATAGTTAACTTTGAAATCGAATATCCATAAAATCAATATTTCTCAATAATTCTACCAAATTAATTAAAATTTTTACCAAATTCCTGGAATTTGATAGGAAATAATGTTATGGTTGGCAGGCTAAAATAATGATAACATACATTTATTTGAATGAATACATAGACGTTACAAATGTTAACAAACTGAATTTTAATTCAGTTATTATACAATTTTTAATAAATTATTTGACCAATTTTATATCATTACATGAAAATAATTACCGGTAGTAAACAATATCCTATCCTTATTCTAATTATTCTTTGATCATCAATCTCAGTCACAACAATACAAACAAAAAATGAAGTTTTTTATTCCAAAATTCACACGTATAACTGTTTCATAAAATTGAATAGTCACTTTATTTTTAAAAAATGGTGTGTACAACTAAAAACTAATAGTAATATTGTGTGAGTTCTTGTTCCCCATGGTAAATTCCGATCAAAATAAAATTCGAAAACCAGTTTTAGTCCGAAACCTTAAGATTAAAAAAAGGTGCTTTAAATACAATTATAGCTAAATATACATAATGTTATTTACCTCAAATATTTTATATTTACGAAATTGATTTAAATATTACGCTACATAATTTTCTTATCATGATACTAATTACTTTTATATTTTTTTTGAAATTTTTTTTTTTGATTTAAACCTGGAAACCCGTTTATTATCCAATTACGAGAGCATTTTCAGTAATAATGATGCAAAACTTCATTGTTCTCATTATTACTAAAATATCGCACTCTCACTAAATATGTTGATAAGTGAGCGGAAAGTATTATATCCCCTCTGGGTATGCTAAATTGCTTACATTGAAGGCAGAGAATATCTTCGATCGAATCTCCGCCGCAGTATCATTTTATATCGATAATTCTCTTGTCGCAGAAGGCACCCAATTTCCTTTCTAACTTTTTAAATTTAACTAGTATGATAATTACTAGTGACCGACCACTACTTTAATTTAATTATATGTTTTTTAAAAAATCTGTTGGCGCGAAGCAGATCAGTAAAATTAAAACTACTGTTGTATTCAGTTCTTTCGTTTATGTACTTATAAATAATGTTGTAATGTAAGCAGAAGGTATTAATGAATAGTTATTGAATAAAAATGAAGTAATTGTGACAAGTATTTATTTAATAATATCAAATTAATCAATGTTGCCTCAACGTCGACACTCTACACTTTCGCTATGTCAATATATTAAACTAAGTAAATGCAAAGTAATAAATTCTAATTAATTAAAACTGCGCAAATTACAAAACTATTACATAAAATTGAATAATAAAATACTAATAAAATGGGATTTAAAAATTAAAATAATAAACGAAATTACAAATGCAAAAATTATAAAGTTAAACAGCGAAATCGAAATTATCGCGAAGGTAAAAAGGAGGATTTCAAAGGAATGTAGATCAAAAAATATCACAAGAGCGAGCCTGGATATTGAGCTGTTTTAGGATTTCCAACTCGATATATATTAAAAAAAAAAATTAAGCCGCCTGGCATCTTGAACATTTGTCATGGCAAATGATCGTCAAAAAGACTAACTGTAATTATCAAAAGCGATTTACATGCGGAATTATGAAGATTTCGGCCGGAATTATATTCAATTTTAACACTAACAAAAGAAATATATAATAATAAAAAAAAATACATAAGAAATCGGAATAAAATTAAGGAAAGAGTATAAAGTAATGGATAACAGGATAACATGAACTCTGTCCAATTCTCAAGAAATATCCATCGTATATAAATATATAATAAATTTTTAAAAAGGACAATTTGGCCAAGCAACATGACAAAATTGGCCGTAATTGATCTTCAAAGTCTTTCTATGAACGATAATTCATCATTTTGTTCATTAAAAAAAAAAAAAAATGGATTGTTTGTACTTTGGTCATCTTTGCGATACAGTATAAAAAGGAAAAAAAAATCTTGCTCATGTTTTTTAATACAACACACCAAATACAAGTAAATATATTTTCTGAAAATAAGAAGCTTAAAATGCTATCTAAAAATTATCTAAATTTCATATTTTGAGATCAACCCAACCGATTATTATTATCTTGCTGAGAAGTGGGAGATTGATTATTATCTGTTACATTTCGTGGACGAATATTAACTAAATTTATATTATTCGCAATTTGATTTTCATTTTCAGCAATCATATTAGGTGCCAAATAATCAATAAGGGATCGTCTCAAGTGAAATTCAAGGTTTTGTTTATGGTCATTTGTAAATTCCAAAGGCTGTTGTTGCCGTTGCTGTTCACTTTGTCTCAAGTTGATTCCAAAAAAATTTAAGTTTAAATGCTGAACTATAGCCGAATGCGAAATTATTTCACAATTTATATGATAAATTCTTTGATCGTTAGGATGTTGAAAATAAAACTTGAAGTGATTATTTGAATAAAAATAATTACAAGTTGAGTATAAGTGATCATTTAATAATTGAGCTGCAAGTTCATTTAAAGTAATTTCTTTACAATAAATAATGTAAATTTGAAAGTCATTATTAGGCCTATAATAGAAAACATTTTCTTGAGATACAGAGGTACTATTAAAAGAAACATTAGAGGCTGAAACGTTTGAACCGCTGTCGTCTTGTGAAGTAGCCATCTGGAGCGTATTACTTTCCTGTTGGATACAGTATATATATTTATATAAAAATGTGGATCTATTATATATGTATTAAAGCAATACACATAAAGTATATAAGTAATAAATGGTAGTTTGCAAGTGTTTGCGTTATAATTGATACTTATAGAATTTTTTAATATATAGATTTAAAAAGCAAAAATACGAAGAAAAAAGGATAACTATTTATACGGAAATATTTTTTTTACAATATATATGTATTTGTATTTGTATTCATTTTTTTGTTTTTTATTTTCTTTTTTACGATCCCTAATATAGTAATTATCATATTTACCTACCAATATACACTCCCCAGTCAAAAGTATTAGACCACGTGATTTTCGTTATACTAATTGGCGTAATTTTTGCCGATTATAACTTGTGATCTAATGCATAAAATTGAGT